GCCTCACATTTAGACATCTGGCAAGATGTTTTGGGTATGCTGCTTGGTAGGCTGGGCAGAGGACAGAGTCCCTCTCTCCCCATCCCAACCTCCCCCCACCTGTTGGCTGACATGTGCAGTCTGTAAGGCCATCTAAACCAAATCCTATATTTTATTACCCTGGTTGCACATTCTGGAAGATTAATGATCAGTTTAAATGCAGAGCACTTTTATTAGCACGCTGATGTGCGTGTGTTTTTCCCACTTAATGAAACCTGGGGGGAAAAGGAATTAGAGGAAACACAGATGTGATGGGCAAGACCCGACATGGTTATACGCAAGGCAGTTTTATGTGTGGCTGGCTTGTGTATAGAGATTTGGGGGCTACTCTGAGAGGCCAAGAGGACATGGTGACAAGCAGGATTTGTCTGAATATGTGGCATGTGTGCTCCTCATTACGACCTCCTGCAATGTGGAAAGCAGTTCTTTCCTTCTATTCCCCCACCCACCCAGCACTCGCCAGTGCTTAAATTCCCTGAAAATGTGGACCAATACTCTTATAAACGTCATTGGTATGCCAGCGGGTGTTAAAGCAATGCTTTTCGCTGTGAATTGCACCAGTGTTTTGTCTGTCAGAGCACAGTCCATCAAAACCCAGGAAACAACCTGCATTTCTAACAAAGCCTACCCCCTGCCAACTAGGGAAAAGCCAACATTTAACAGGGTTCTGTTCTTCAATTTCTCTATTGCTCTGTGGATTTCCTGTGCCTTGGGTTCTACTCCTTGGGAAGGCCAGCTTCGCTAGAAAATGATTATAAAATTAATTTCACAATGTACAATATGCAGCACCAGGCTTGGGTTCATCTGTAACTCCCCTGCTCCCCACCCAAATCTACATTGCTGAGTGATTCCCCATTCATGCACTGATAAAACACAGGAAGGAAAGAAGGAAGGAAGGAAGGAAGGAAAGGAGGGAGGGATGCTTCCCCTTACACCTAGTGAGCAACAGAATGAGCAACCAAGCTGGGAGGGAAGAAAGAAGGGGAGAAAGCAGTAGGCTGAGGAACCCTAGTCACAGTCGTTGGAAGGGGGGGAAAAAGAATCAATGGATTGTCTCCAACTAAGTTCTATTTAGGGACGTGGGTCTAAACCATAGAGCCTAGGGCTTGCCAATCAGAAGGTCGGCGGTTCGAATCCCCGAGACGGGGTGGGCTCCCGTTGTCCGGTCCCAGCTCCTGCTCACGTAGCAGTTCAAAAGCACGTCAAGTACAAGTAGATAAAAAGGTACCACGCCAGCGGGAAGGTAAACGGCATTTCCGTGCACTGCTCTGGTTCGCCAGAAGCGGCTTAGTCATGCTGGCCACATGACCTGGAAGCTGTACGCTGGCTCCCTCGGCCTATAGAGCGAGATGAGCGCCACAACCCCAGAGTTGTCCGTGACTGGACCTAATGGTCAGGGGGTACCTTTACCTTTACCTTTAAGTTCTACTTAGAGTAAAGCCATTGAAATTAATGTACCTGCATGGGATTAAAGTTGTAGTCCATTTTTGATAAGATTTTCTTTTCTCTTACGGCAATATCAGTCAGGGCCTTTCAACTGAAGAATTGGAAGCCCGTCATAACAAGATGCTCTTATACTTAAAAAATGATCACAGAACAGGAATACAACACAATTACCTATAGGGGAAATGGGGGAAAGTGCCAGAGGAATGCAGTTGGGGATGTACAGAGGAGAGAGACCATTGATTCATGCCTTCTAATACATTATTTCATATTTTCAAGCAGCACTTCATTTAAGCAACAATAATAACATTTAGTGTTGCATATATAGAGATCTTTACACTGTCTGTGGCACTTTACTGAGGGTGGGTTGCACCCAAGTAAGTTCTACTCAAAGAAAACCTATTGCATGGATGCAACTCACTGTGCGTTCTGTGCATATGCACTGAAGGCAAAGAAGAAATAGCAACAAAGCCCAATCCTTGCCTTTAAAATGTAGACTTTATGAACAAAAATTGTGACAGCAGGCCAGGACACAAAACAAAACTATTATACAATTGCTTGCTTATTTTCTTGACCAAACTAGTTAGGTTAGAGCTAAGTCTCCACAAATCTACAACCAGATGAGGAGCGCTTCCTGTAGCATCCAAACCAAGTTCTGCAAAACCTTTGTCAATATTTTGTGCTATAAAACTCTGCCAATATCTCTTAGATAATTACCAGAGGTGCAGTGAGACTCACGGACATCATTCCTTCAGCTGAGATTCAGAGCTGGCACAATAGTGAAAAGGAAGGCATCTTAACACCATGTAGGAGATCTGGGATCATAGCCTAATTTTGGAATTTGTTCTTCCCTGAAAGCAAGAACATGAAAGGTTGCATGGGAGAACCTTTTGAAGGCTGGCTTTTAGAGAGGAGGAAGCGACTGAGTCTCCAGCCCATCACAAAGCACATCATCCACTGATCCACATCTCCTGGAGCTGGTCATGGTTACTTAGTGGTGATGGACAGATGTATACTCTTGCCTGCAAGCCTAATTTAGAAAAGGAAAGCCTGAAACCACTACCGGAAGCCTGGAAAACAGCATTCTAGTGGATATTAAACATGTTCCGCTGATGATAACTCTTGACTTTCATTAAAATGGGGCTTAAGTCAAGAGTTAGTGGATTTTTCCAGATGTGATCCCTTGAGGCTCAGGCTGTTGTTGCTTCAGACTCTGCTAGTGGTCCCACTTCCACTAATTCTTGTAGGTGGTCAAGTCAAACTATGATGTAAAACCCCGCTTTCCAAATAGCCATTCAGGTTTTCTATTGCCTTTTGATGAACTGCAGTTTGCTGAATAAGGATGAAATCTCCTGCGATTAAATGTGTGGACAGATGTGCCACTGTGAAGCTGTGCATTTGTGCTGACAAAATGCAGATGCATTCCAAGAGTTGCCTGGGTCTTTCAGAGAGGTTGCTTTCCATCCCCAAGTGCAAGCCAACACCCACTGCATGGCAATCTCTTCACATTTGCGAGGCTGCACCACATTGCACCATCATGTGCTGTATGAAACCACTGGATGAAATCTGTTTAGAAAGCTGTGAGTTCAAATCATCCCTCTCCTTCTGAATAGCCTTGGGCCAGGCTCACTCTCTTTGGTTTAGTTTCCCCGGGGGTCAGATAACTTTATACCCTCCAACATTTCTCCAATGAAAATAAAGATATCCTAAGGGAAAGTGGGACATTCTGGGATCAAATCAGAAACCAGGACAGCTGGTTTACTAAATTTACTAAATGGTTTTGTCATGGGTTTTTTAAAAATCAAACACTAAATACGTTATATGTAATAAATAAAAGAAACAATTTTAGCACATATTCCACATGTTTTTACCACAAATCATATCATGAGGGGTTGTAAAATCCCAGATGGCCAAGGAAACCTGGGACAGTTTAGTCATCTGAATGTGGACTCACAGACCTAGGGAAGATTCCTAAGGATCCTGGGAGCCTGGCTGAAGGTCTGTTTGATTTCCTGCCTTACTCACCAAAAAGCACATAAGGCCAGGCCTCATGCTTCTGAAGCATTTTGCAGTGCTTCCCAAGCAAGACTCAGATACGCGGCACACATTGAACAAATTCAGGATTTATTGAAAGTAAACATTTGCATTGGCTACAACGTTATAACTGTTACAAAGCTGAATAAAAGAGCTTAAATAGCAATAAGAAAGCAAGTGCGGTAAAAAGTGACTGGAGAAAATATTTGGCCTTAGTGATCTTTTGGCAGTTATTTACAGTATGTACAAATTGTTCAATATCTGTAATAATCTGAAGGCACCATAGGCTAAAAATTAGCAGACTGCGAGAAGGTTTTGTGCACAAAATTCAGGACGTTTGTTGGAAAACAGGTTGTTGAGAAACAGAGGCCTAACTGAATGCTTTAATCATGGGAGTGGCTGCATTTTCTTTAAAATGCAAATACTGTATACTGTTATGAATTGGGTAATTTTATCTTTTAAATTTTATTTTTAAACATTATTTTAAAGAGCACAACATGCTGCAATGATGGTGTGTAAAGACTCCATTTTATCGGAACTGCTGGCAGTAGATGTTTGATGTCACCTGGGTATTTAACAGAGTTTCACATTCTAGGGTTTGTGTTGTTGTTGTTCCTTTCTGACAGCTACGTGAAATGTATTTTGTCTACAAAAGGCTAACATCTACCCCACTGAACTACAAAACCCCAGTGCAGAATTGGACAAATTGTAATGTACATCTGGGCTGCCTTAGTCTGAGCAGGCTTCAAATGGAGTAGGAAGCAACTGGCAAGCGACCCATTCAGTACTCGATAACTAGGCTTAAATAAAAAATTGCTTGGGTCCCATCAGCAAACCAGCCATCATTACGCACACCTCACAGTGCAAATGATAAACAGAAGCCAAACAGACTACAGACTTAGCTCAGTCTCAGACCACTTGAACTGCAATGGAATTCTCTTGCAAAGAATTCTGGGAATTGTAGCTTGATATTAGGGATCGCTCCCTCTTGCCAGCCCCAACTACCATTCCCAGATTCAGAGAAGAACCTATGAAACTAGGTTGTGTATAGCTATACGGAAAGTGCTTCACATGTTGAACCCCTAAGAGCAAACCAGAAGCCAGTGCCCTTAATTCTTAAAAATATAAAAGCTTTGCTTCCTCCTTGTACAGCAGCAATGGAAGCCACTGATTCCTACACCTTTAATGATTGGATGGGAGAAGTTCAAGTAGCTGTTGCCACACCTGGATGACAAAATAGCGCCTGCCAAAAATCTCCCCTTCCGCACAGTCCTCCTTTGTAGTCAGTCTCCCTAGTCAAGGAGGTAAAATTAGTCAAGTAGTCCCTAGTCAAGTAGGTCAAGGAGGTAAAATTAACGAAGACAGTTGCATCTGTAGTGGATCAGACCCGACATATTCTGCCAGCTAGGTCTTCTTTCACCATGTTGACTGGAAAAGCTGTTCCCTGTCTTTGGCACAAACAATAAAAGGAACAAGGGAGGGGAAGGGTTATAACTCAGGGGTAGAGTATCTGCTTTGCATGCAGAAGGTCTCAAGTTCAATCCCTGGTATCCCTAGGTAGGGCTGGGAATGTCCCCTCTGTGAAATCTTGGAGAACCACTGCCAGTCACTGAAGACCAGGGTTTCCCAAACTTGGGTCTCCAGCTGGTTTTGGACTACAACTCCCATCACCCTGAGCTAGCAAGACCAGTGGTCAGGAATGATGGGAGTTGTAGTTTGGGAAACACTGGTGTAGACAATGTTGAGCTGATTTAGGATAAGGCAGTTGCCGTGTTCCCAGGAACTCTGGAACTCTGGCAAGGTCTGGCACTCTGAGCATTGAACTTGCCTCAGTCCATAACTCTGTGTGTCCAGTGTGATGTGCAAGTGGAATTCTTGCATGCACAACCCCCCCATTCACTTTAATGAGAAGGTCAACTGTGAAGGCCAAAGGAATGCATAACTAGAGCTAATCTTCTCTATCTGAGTTGCCATGGGTATGGCAGTAACAATCCGTAGGCATGAAGTGTCCTCTTCCCATGATCCTGAGAGCAGGATCAGGTCACTGAAGAAACTCCCTACACTGACTTGAGCAGAACATTTATGAGTTTGTACAAGCAGTGACCTTTAGTGGATTTGTGTACGCTGAGTTTTTCTTGCTTTTCAGTTTAATGGGTTTTGTGATCTGGTGCCAATACACCACTGGAAATCTTTTAAGATTGAGCCAAACTAGACAATCAGCCACAAACATGGGTTTTAGTAGTTAGGTTGTCACCAAACCGTTGCAAAGCAGCAGTGGCAAGGGTCAGATTCGCATTGGAGAAGTGGTGAAGTGGCAGTGAACTATTCAGCTCTCTATCATCCACAACTTTCTCCCTAAAATTTGTCACCCCCCTCCCCCATAAAGCAGCAAATAAGCATCCAGGAAGCGCTTAGGGAGAGGATGCAGTTTCCAGCAGAAAGTTCAGCCAATCTCCACTTTTCCATTCCACAAATCATGCCGTCTCACCACTGCTTTGTAGCTATTCATTGACAACCTGGCCTCCCAATAGGGTGGTCCAGTACACAAGAAGAGTTGTATCTGACCATTTTAGGTCCCAGAGCCATTTGGTACAGCCCAGATGTGCAATCTTAGTTTGAACATCTGCAATATCCATGTGAAACCCACCCAAAAAGTCAATTTGTAAATGGTCCTGAGATTAGGACAGATGTGTTTAGGATGATGCACGGAGATTCTATTCGATTCCTAGGATAGAATAAATCTTCCAAAGTAGGCGGATACAATTCAGAAATCATGGTGGATTGCTCTGTGCAAAGGGCTATAGGGTTGCCATATTTTGAAAAGCAAAAAAGAGGACACTTTTGCCGACTTCTACTTTTAACTATGGATTTCTATGATGACTCTACCCATGAAAAAGAGGATGTGTCAACAACATATCTTGGGGTGTCCCTGGCTCCTTATAAGATGTATTTCACCTCCATAGCACCTCTTGATTTCCCCTACTTTCCTAGGAGTGACAACACACCTTCTTAGCATTGTAAAAGGAGCAGATTTGTAAAAGGATGGGGAACAGAAAATTAGGATACAGCTTGTCAATGAGGAACAAGAGCTAAACACCACATAAGCTATTATGATTAAGTGCAGAATCACCCCACCACTGTGCTTTCAACAGCAGTTTGATACATAGGATTGAGAAGAGGATGCTTTCAGGGCTTGGAGATGTATGCTCATCACCATTTACTGCACATTAAGCCATTGCTAAAGACATAGCAGTAGAACAGAATGAGAAAAGAATCAGTACTTGTTAGCTCTGCATTAGCTAGAATATATAAGTGGTCCCGCCCCCTGCCCTTTTAGGTTCCAGGTATAAATGAAGATCACCACCCCACCATTTCTAGATCAGTTCCAAAAAACTAGACTAAACTAGACTAAACAAAAGTATCCAAGTTCTAATACCATAACCAAACAGAACACCTTATGTTAGATTTGGGGTGCAATCCTGACACCCCCTGTGTCCTGTCAAATGCAATAACTAGGTGTAGGATTTCAGCCCAAGTATCAGGCTGTTCTCCTTTTATCTTGAGGTAGTGTTTGTAATGGATACTTTTAACGAGACAGGTGACTACTTCGAACCAAGGTGCAAGCCCTCTGATGGGATTGTATCACTTTAAAGTGGCTTGGGATGGGGGGAGCTGGCCTGGACATTTCTTTGATGTGTACTTTCCCCACAGACAAGGAAAGCATTTTCACTCACACATTCTGGAGTGGTAGAGTCTCATGAGAGGACTGTACCATGTCAGTGAATGCATTTGAAATGGCTCACTGTCGATGGGTGGGTTCCCAAGGAGAGAACCAGAAGGCAGTGGCAGAATCCAGAAGGGATTTCTCTGATGTAATGCCCATTGAAACAAGTGGAAATTGCCCCCAGACACATTTTAAAAACTGTCTAGCAAGCATAAATCCCACAGGAGAAACATTCTCCTTGGCAACCAGATGTTCAATGCACAGGGCCCTGTCCACACAGAAAAGTTGACTGCTCTATTTTTGGCTTGTGTTTTCCCCCCATCACTGAATTTTCCACAAGCATGGCAAATTCCAAAATGGACAGTTAACAAGGACATATTCCAAGCATTTAGGGCATGTGAACAGGTTCCCCATTTCCGAAAGGACTCAGCTGCCTTGGCAGCTGAATGTCAAGCAGAAATTCAACAGATATTGGGTCCCCCACCACAAAGATATTGTGCATCTTGAAATTCTGCCTGACATTCACCTACAAAAGGCACTGCAGCCTGAGGAATGGTAGCCATCCTGCTTAGCTCATGCTGCAATTCTCAGCATCACTTTTCTTTTAAAACCCCCCTGCTTTTGCCTAGGAGCTATTAGCAGTGCTGTGTGTAACTCCACCATTTATTTTTTTTGCTGGTATAATTGGGCATGTTGCACAAAACTGGAAACTGGGGCACCAGTGCTGAGGGATACAATAGCATGTCAGCACTCCTTGTTGTAAGAACAGAAGAATGGCTCTGCTGGTTCAGACTAATTGTCCATTTTGTCCCAGATCCTGCTTCCCGAAGTGGCCAATTAGATGCCTCTCAGAAATAACCGACAAATAGGGCATGAGGCCAATGGCCCTCTCCAGCTGCTGTTCCCTAGCAGCTGGTATTCAGAGCCATCTGATGGTATGAAATGTGTGCAGGAGAAAGGACTTGATGAGATCCTAATGGACAAGTTGTATGCCGAGGTCTTATTTTAACAATGAAATACAACAGCACTCCAGAGAACTGAATTCCAAAGAAATCAACCAAGCAGTATAAAAATCACACTTAGGACACTGCTGATAGATCAGCCTTACGCACCATAGTGGGGGAAAGGAGATTCCTTGCAAAACAATCCCACAGGGCCATGATGTGAATGATGCCATCACATGGTCAGGGCCAATTTGCACAGATCTAGCCATTTCACTCAGTCCGTCCTTCCCATTACATCAAGAACCCCTACAAGATCAGCCTTGGGGATATGGTTGCACCATTTACAAATGCTACAGCCACATGAGAGAACACCGCACTGCAGAGATGAATGCAAAGGGGGCATCCCGCCAATGTTTGATCCTTGTATACTGTGTATATATGCATGAGAGAATGAGTGAGCCATGGAATTTTGTTTTAGGGACTGCTGGTGAGATGGTGAGGCTTCATAGAGCTGGATACAAGGAATACAAAAGCAGCAAAGGGTGGCTCAGGAAAGAATGGCTGAACTTGCAGAATACCACTGTTTATGCCTTCCCCCAGCCATAAAACACATTCAGCCGATTCTTAATTTCAAGGTTCCACTGTAGTGGCATCAAGATACAAAGTGCGGCACAGCAATCTATTTCTGACTCAAGCGAGACTGATTTGCAGGTGGCATTGAAGCTGACGAAGGCCAATTTAAGTATGAGATCCATGTGTGACCTTCTTGCAGCCATAGTAGCAAACCAATGAGTGAACAAAAACTGGGGAAATCAGCAATATATATAAATTTATTCCCCCCAGCCTAGCTGCTGTTCAACAAAGAGGAGTTTGAAGTTCTCCAGAAAATTTGTGGCACCATCTCTGTTATAGAGCTGGTGGCATTCTGTCAGAGGAATTATGCCAGGAATGGGGAATCTATGGCCTACCAGATGGATGTTAGACTATAACGCCCATCATCCCTGGCCACTGGTCATGCTGGCTGGGGCTGATGGGAATTGGAGTCCCACAACATCAAGAGGTTCACAGATTCCCCAGCCACGAATGATGAAATTGAGGAAGCAGATGAGAGAAAGCTGGATTTGTTGGGAGCGAGAAGCAAGGATTTGGGTAATACAGTTGAGCCCATTAACCTGGGAAATAATGGTGTCTTACTCTAAAAATGTCATTGCTTCAGACTATGTCTGCATGTGTATATGCTATAGCAAGCGTTAAAAAATAAGTGAATGTTGTTGCATATTGACAATTCCTAGTTAGAGGCCTGCAGGAAATGTGTTCTTCTGAAATTCAAATATATTAAAAATGTCAGCAATTTTCGATGGGTCTCATAAAATCTTTGGAATTACTGGCACATGCCAACATTCACCAAGAGTGATAACCTATCACAATGCAAGTAGACTTCCCTTTCCTCTTCTCCTCCCTGAAGGCCCCCCCCCCCAACACACAAATCTGTGGAGGCTACTGCAACCCTCCAGAGCAGATTCTGGAGCACACAGGAAGGGCAAATCTCACTGTGCATGTGGATGTCTATTGCACAACTGGACAAATACAATTAGATGTCACCAAGAGGTCTCTCCCCCCCCCCCTTTACAATAACATACAGAATACTTAGGATTTTACCTTTTGCAAAGGCCATTTTACCCATTCATTTTACTAAAAGCTTAGTTTGGCATCCAGGAAATTTGCATGACAAATCTGGTACGTTAAATTACGCCTAGAATAGAAAATGATAATTTGAAAGATTTTTCATGTGGGAATACCCCAGGCCAAGCCTCCTAGCCAATTATCATTGGGTTGATCAGCTGAAATGCATTCCATTAGGTATGCACTGTCTCCCTTATTAGGTACT